CTGGGATCAGTCCAATGTCTACATAGCCTAAAAAGATGTGAAATGTTAGTGAAAGAACAATCTTTGTGAAATAGAAATACAAGTATTCTGTTACGTGGTGAACAAAAAGTGCAGATTATGGTGGAGAAAAAACAAAAACTTAGTGTGTATTAGGCTAACGTAACGGCATTTAGAAAAGAGAAGAAAAGGGAGTTAAGTTGTAAAATAGCGACCTATTGTTTCAAATTTGTTTTCAGTCACTGTAACAAATGTGAAAGTCAGAATTTATACCTGGAAATCTTCCAGGTGTATCCACAAAACATTCAAAAATGTTACATCTGTAAAAAACATACTATTTTGGGAGGTTATAATCTGTTTTTTTTTCCCACAGCAAAGATTTTGTGGAATAATATGTTAAGACAACAACAAATAAATCCTGAACTCTGAAACAGAAACAGCTCGACTCAGTTTACCCATCATCCCTTTTGATTTCTTACATCTGTTCTTTGTACACATCTTTGTGATGAGTCAAAATAACTTTTGTGAATAGGGTTAATGTAAAAAACAGAAAAGAAAACAACATACCCAGTCCTTCACTCTCTTCAAATGCTTTCCTCACAGTTGTACAGGTGGAGCCGTTACCATTGCACACTCCACAGCGATCCTCTACAGCAGTGGAATCTATCGCGTAATCACAGCCTATATTCTGTTAGAAACATGCCACAAAAATGATCAGTATCACGATAACGGACATTATGTAGCAAATGTGACTTGGTGAAACTTTGAACTGTGGTACTTCCTGTGTACATCGCTTTCTAAAAGCCAGAAAAACAGCAGAGGCTGTCTCATGTACCTTTGACTTGTTTGGAGAGGGCAGATGATGCAAATGAAGCTCAAAGTAAACCCTAATATTATAGTTTACTATTTATTTATTTACTTTTTAGGTTGGTTTTCTAGATACTGTACTATTGCATGGTGCAAATGAAGGCACAACAGTAATCCAGATAAACAAAAGGCAGCAGTTGAGCTGCCTCAGGTGGTTCTCTTACTTAGTCCATGTAAACAAAGTTTGACTTTGGTAAAAGAGCAAACACAATAGCACAAAAACATGCCTATTTTTAAGCATGCATTATGCAGAATTGCATCTATATAATATATTTTAATCATATATGTATCTTGCTACCTAGCTCATGGATTTAGTTGCCAAATCAATAAACGAATTTTAATTGTGCATTTCAATATATTTCTTAATTATGTACATGCAATGGCAGAAGGGTCTTCAATTCTGTTCTATTCTAAAGTTAAAGCTAGGAGAAATAGCAAATAAATAGACATTAATAGCAAAAAATTCTACCGAGAGAGTTGAAAGCAACAGAAAACTGAGTACCTCAAAGATGCATTTATATACAGTACTTGAATAAAGGTATGTACTTATTTTGTATTTATTTATTTTACCAAACTTAGGATGGGAACATGCTTCCCTGGGTGTTTCTAGATTACGCATGTGAATAAAACTTGCTTTTTATGTTACGGAGAATTCGATTTTTTGAGACAAAGAGGGTGTTGTTGCGTGACAAAAATGTCACAAAATGTCATGAAGTCAGATACCCAGAGTCAGAGACTGCTGTCCACTCGGTACCCAAATAGTGTCTGTTTTAATGACTGGCATTTTAGCCCAGGGCGATAGGCAAGAACAGGCTGCTATCTTAAGATAACAGCCTCCAGATTTGTTACCCCTGCCTTTCCTTCTTTCTTTTTCTATTTTTTTTAATCAGCATGCTTATTGTGACCCAGAATGTCAAATCTACAAAATTCGCCAGCAGAGAAAACAAGACGAGCGCCAACTCAGTTCACTGTATGAGCGACAAACCACAAACGCAACAGAAGAAAAAAGATCCCCATCAATCAATACAAAGTTTTTTCAGTCTAAAGAAGAAACACCTTCAAACCTGAGGACAGTATACAGTGGGGCAAAAAAGTATTTAGTCAGCCACCGATTGTGCAAGTTCCCCCACTTAAAATGATGACAGAGGTCAGTAATTTGCACCA